TCCCCCGTTGTGCTGTGTGTGGTTTGGGCGGCTCCCCAACCCCACATCCCCCCCCACCCCCCCACCCCCCCCCCGGCAATACTTTCTTTCCTTTTAAGTCAACAATGCTCAGCTCCTGAAACAGGCAAGTATCTAGAACAATAATTCATCTCGGCATTATAGCCTTGTCGTGGTGTGTGTGCCCCTCCAAATCCTAGTTAGCTGGAGATTCAGGCACACTAGACCGATATAGCAACGTTACGCGATATTATTCCTCTAATCGTGCGTCACGCGTTGAAATCCGTCCGTCAAGAAGCCAGTGTGATACTATAAGCAGTGTAATGATTCGCCAAGCCATTACAAGTACGGAGCACCGTACATTAGTATGTAGTACGTATCTAGTTAGATCAGTAAACGAGCAATACAGGCTATATGCGTGCGTGCTATACACACATAAAGTATATAACCTGGTCCGTAGTTAGCCTTGCTAGACCGCGCTAGATCTCTGGGTGCGTCGACGAGTTTTCCATTATTCTCCGCCAAGACGACCGAAGTGACTGTCGAATCTGGAATAGCTTGGTGAGGCTGGGCACCTGCCATCGGACGGTGAAGCCATCATGGTCTTACAATAGCCGTGGCGTTGTGCGGAGTGAATACTCGTCAATACTAGTAGGCATGCCTTCTACAGCTGAATAAAGAACACCTGCTCTGGTCTGTGTTGATCTACGAAAAATCATACGCGCGCCCAGATGAGAGCTATTACAGGCTTCCATTACGAAATCACGATGAGCCTTCTGACTTCACTCTTAATGTTTGAACGTTAGTGTTGCTAAATGTCTACCTGGGTATACAGATTACTGGAACATTGTACTAGATTGTATAACGGAAAGAAATTGTTGCGCGACTTCCGAGTAACAATTTACCGAGACAAGTCACAACTAAATTAATTCCCAGACAATCGACCATTCAGTACAGTATCTGCAGGCTCTCTCTGCAGGCTCTCCCCCAGCGCGATAAAGAATGGACAAGTCGACAAATGACAATGCATATATCGTAAGACCATTAAGCGATATTAGAGCTGACAGACAGGTGGGGAAAAACTGGCATCGAGTAAAGGGAAAAAGCCCGAAATACTGATGTATTCGTAGACCTATGCTGCAACCCACCATGGTACAAGCATAGATGAAAATGTCGTTAGACGCAAACTCGCTACCCTACTCATCAATATCAGTAGTTGACACTGCTAGTAACTCCAGAGTGGTATTCGGTTGCATCTAATGTCTCCCGGGTCATCCGGGCTGCTCGCTACCTAATTAATTCGCAGCCTTGTCTTGTCGCTTTTATCATTTGCCCGAGCGATTGCAACTTAGATTCTCAGGAAGGGCAATGTTACCCGTACTGGTATTGGCCCAGACTGTCTCCAACAGCTCCAATATAGTCAGCAATTTTTGTTGCTGACAGCGATATGTTGTTGTTATTGTAACCCAAGTCGGGAGAGTGAGTAAGAAGTAGTTGATGCGAGCTGTAGGTTACTGGAAAGGCGGTGTTAACCTACCCACCTAGTCCTACCAGATACAGTAAGTAGATTGGTTGGGTAGGAGTTGCACAAGCGTGTCAGGAGATCTCGCGCCTCAGCCTAGGTCCGAGTAGGCATAGAAAAAGTGCCTGCCCGGTGGTGCTGCAGGTAGAATAAGAATGGCATGATGAGAAAATGAGCCACTGTCAATGCTGTGTGACGACATTGCTACAGATATATATATATATGTGGACGGGGAAGTATTCCTGTTGGTTGCCCCTGTGATTGATGACTACCTAAGTTTTTATACCATACTGTAAGTACCCACCCACTCACCTTTCTTAGTATTACAGTGAGAGACAAATAGTACACTCTGAAATATGCTAACAAATTGGGCTCATGACCACCCATATGGGGATGGCGAAGAAGAGGGATGGGTGTATGGTATGTATGTATATATATATATATATGTATGTATGTATGTATATATATATATATGTATATATATATGTATGTATGTATGTATGTAGTATATACAGTATAGCTACCTAGCATATGTAGACCGTTTAGTCTAGATTGTTTGATCTTGTCGCACTTATTTATCATCACCAATGGAATGAATATCTCAATCACTCATCAACTGGCCCTCTAAAAAGCCTGCTTCGTCAGCTGCTATAAGACAGTAAGGGAAGAAAAAGAAAAAAGGAAAAGAAAAAAACATCATCCTCCGAATCGGGGAATCGAACCCCGGGCTTGACGGCACTTTCCCAGGCAATGAGGACCACTTGAGAGCGTCAAATGTTAGCCACTACACCAATTCGGATATGGTTAGATTCGGTTGAATGGCATACATATAACATAGCATTATCATAGCACATTCTGAGTAGAGCACTTGTACATCCAATAGTCTTCGGTACACCCTTACACCAGGTCGCTCCTATGTTGTGATCGCCCTGTGGTACGTCCTTATTCATCTCCGCCAGCACCATGTACCTACCTATAGGGGGGGATTCCATTTTATAACACTGTGATACCAGCATTGTGCAAGTGTTGCAGTTTTCCTTCAGAGTATTTACCCCAACAGCATACGGCCAGAAAACTTCAGTTCCAACCTTTTCAAGCCGTACAATGTGAGGCCATCAGTAATGCTCAACAAAAATATTATGTTGCAGTGATGTCAGGATAAAAAAAAGAACGATTATTCTAATATTCCCCAGCAAAAAAATGCAGTTGCAGTCGCAGGCAGTACGGCCGTTAAAGTGTAGAGGTAATCAATCGCTACCTAGGTCATTCTGCTGACCTAACAGAAAAATACAACGCTTGTATCACCATACCAAAAAAACTCGCAGAGTGACCTGAACAAAAGGTCAGTTCTAGCATGTCCTAAAATGGGGTCCCCCCCCTTTAGGTACCTAAGGTAAGGTACATACTAAGTACATGTAGTGCATGTAAAGGTGGGGTAGCGTCAAGGCTAGGCTGGATAAACCTCGGGGAGGTGGCGGGTGGGATGTTTAATAGTAGTACGTATCGTGGTCCTGTTAGTTTACCCCACCCTCTGTCTTCATCTGTCACTTGCTATCAGATCATTATATCTCAACTCTGTTTACTGTAGAGAAAATTAGTACACTGCTTCAATTTCAGAACATCGGCTCGTACAGACTGATTCACTCACATTTCATCATCCCTCGATACGCTTGAAAGCCCAGTGTTCTAGATGTCCATCGAGAACCTTAAGTCCTTCGGTAAGCAGCAGCCTTTACCCTGCGCAAATGACGCTCTCACAGCTCCGCTAAAGCAACAACACGTGAACCTAGATCCTTTCCATGATGCTGAAGCAGATGAGGACTCGATCCAAGCAAAGAGTCAGCAAGAGGAATACGTCCACATTCGGATCCAACGTTAGTGCCCCTCGCCATGGTCACTCTCTCTATCTTCCAGTTTGCGCGTGTTGTGACTGATCAACATAGAGCGCAATGGCCGCAAGACCTTGACCACCGTTCAAGGGCTGCCCAACAAGTTTGACAGAAAGAAGATTCTCAGTGTCGTCAAGAAACAATTTGCTTGCAATGGAACTGTCGTGATGGACAGTAAAATGGGTGAAGTCATCCAACTGCAGGGTGACCAGCGCAAGGTCATGTGTGCGTTGTCCCCTTGCTAGACACTTCAGAGGACCACGACTGAACTCATCCTGCGCAGTGGATTTCCTAACCGACTCCAACGGCTTGGAGCTCGACGCCAAGAAAATCAAAGTCCACGGTTTCTAGGCGGTCGAATGCTAGCATGCGCGGCGCCGACGCCGGATACTTACTCAGCTGTGAGATTCCCTCAGTGGCAGTCTTGATATAACTCTACGGTCATGAGGGTATTGCTAAGAATTTACCCTAAGTCTTGCCTTGCATACGGTAGAGGCTATGGTGAATACTTTTTCATACCAGATAAGATGATCAAGCATGGATTGGGCTGACCGCGTGGTCTGCTCATTCTATATGCGATTGACGTTGTCCCCACTTCATTTTTCAAGAGCCCTTAGTCTACTAATAACAATAAAAGAGAAATGCCGAGTTAGAACATGACGGCGAAACCTAACTATCCCAAATGCATTGTCGATATACTTTAAGACCTAGACCCTGTGCGTTGCTTTGAAATATGCTCATTCAAATTTAAATTGAGGTGCAGTAAATGGCCACTGGCCAGCGGACCTCAGAGATGCATCATATGCAGGTTAAGCTCACCCACCAAGTCCAAGGACCAGTTGGGCGTAGTGAGATCCACCATAAGCAGCTACAGGGGGTACAGAACCTTACGTAAGGTACGTAGGTACCGTAACCGCGGACCGGCCGGGGCTGGCGGACAGCTGGGCCTACCTGCGCAAACGAATCGATTAGCCCTCCACTCCCACAAAGAAAATTAATTCGCGGACCTCAATCGTCAATTTTCGACTTGAGAAACATCACCAACTAATTCCTCCAGACCATCCCCCATAAAGTCGAGGTACGCACAGCCACCCAGACACGCTGCCAATATCACAGTGCTTTCAGAGAACTGTGCTTATTGCTCGCCCTGCCCTTCAATCAGCCGTCTCCCCGTTTCTTCTCCCCCGGAAACTAACATTGCACTTGGAAACAGCCCAGCGACTTCCAAGATGGCCTCCAGACCGACCGTCACCATCATCGGCAAAGATGGTTCTCCCTCGGGAGCTACCCATCCCATCCCCACCGTCTTCGCCTCTCCCATCCGACCCGACATTGTTCAACAGGTCCATACCGGCATGGCGAAGAATAAGCGCCAGCCTTACGCCGTGAGCGAGAAGGCCGGTCACCAGACTTCTGCCGAGTCTTGGGGAACTGGTCGCGCCGTTGCCCGTATCCCTCGTGTCTCCGGCGGCGGTACTCACCGTGCTGGTCAGGCCGCTTTCGGTAACATGTGCCGTTCCGGCCGCATGTTCGCCCCTACCAAGATCTGGCGCAAGTGGCACATCAAGATCAACCAGGGCCAGAAGTAGGTGGAGCTCCTCGAATGCTTTCGCTGAGGATTGCTTTGAAACTGACAATGAGAAGGCGATTCGCTACTGCCTCTGCTCTCGCGGCCTCCGCCGTTGCCCCTCTCCTCCTAGCTCGCGGCCACCAGATCTCTAGCGTCCCCGAGGTTCCTCTAGTTATCGACTCTGCCGTCTTCGAGGGTGGTGCTGCTGCCAAGACCGCTAATGCTTTCGCCATCCTGTCGGCTGTCGGCGCCTCTGCCGATGTCATCAAGTCCAAGAAGTCCAAGAAGCTGCGAGCTGGAAAGGGCAAACTGCGAGGTCGCCGTCACCGCCAAAGACGCGGGCCCCTTATCATCTACGACCCCGAGGTTGACGGTACCGAGCTCGTGAAGGGCACCCGCAATCTGCCGGGTGTTGAGACCAGCTCTGTCTACGCTCTCAACCTTCTCCAGCTGGCCCCTGGTGGCCATCTTGGCCGATTCATCGTTTGGACTTCAGCCGCTTTCAAGGCTCTCGACACCATCTACGGCACCACCACCACACCGTCTGAGCTCAAGAAGGACTTCCTCCTGCCTTCCAACCTTGTCGCCCAGGCCGACCTGACCCGCTTGATCAACAGCTCCGAGATTCAGAGCGTTCTCAACGCTCCCAAGGGCAGCTCGCTGACCAAGCGCTCCGGCATTCAGAAGAATCCTCTGCGCAACAAGCAGATAATGTTACGCTTCAACCCTTACCACTCGACATTTGTCAAGAAGGAACTTGGTCAGCAGAAGAAAGAGGCTGGCAAGCCCCCCAAGACGCCCGAGGCCTTCCTCGGTGTCCTGAAGGAGGACTAAGTCAGACTAGCTTGGTGAGCAGCTTGTCTAAAAGATAACGGATAAGAAAGCATTGGGTTGCGATTATCATGGGCGTAATGGGTTCATAGGGTCTCGTGAATCAATGGAATTGTCATTATGATCACTTTCCGCCCTTAAATTTCTTCATCCTCGACGAGTTCGATGCTTGCATTGTGCCGTGCTGCGCCGTAAAGGTTCAACTAGTGAAGACCATTGCCACTCATAATCATTAGAGTCTGCCATTCCCCCTCATACAACATTTAGCCCCCAGTGACTCAACGTATCTTTTTTATCCCTAATGCCAGATTAATTCAGCAGATATTATCACAACTTTTCCCCAATTCACACCTCGTACAGGGAACTGGATGAAAATTGCATAAGAATCGAACACGAGCTGACGAAGTCAGAAGCTTGGTAGTGTCACTTATCTCGCGATCGGACAACGACGTCTTCCTTGCCTCGTCCTTCCCACTACGGGCAGTAGCCACGCCACAAAAGAAACCACACACATCTCCCCCAACCTTCAGAGAAAATCTACCAACTCTAACCGTCATAACATACTCAGATATATAAATATAATGTATAGGTCTATGGAGCAATAGTTTTCAAATATAGCTATCCAAATCCTATTTCTTTGGATTTTAAGCCGCTGAAGTTGTAGGGGTTTGATGATAAAGAGCGTGTGTGGCGTTTTTCTGGAATGGCTACTGTACGGGTCAGTTATATTATTGGCGGTAACGTCTCTTGTACTGAGATTAGTCATACCAACCTAGCCATCGTGTAATCTAGCAGCCTATCCAGCCCATATTTGGTAACTCATCATATTCTTCCGCCTCTAGCGTGCCCGCTTCTTCTAGGAGAGCCTCAAGCTCCACGACCTTCTTGATGCGCCAGAACTTCTGGACGCCTTGTCCAAATCGTACCGAGCAGGCACTATTCAGTTCGTCTGACTCTGCGGCAAAGCACAGACGGAAGTAGGACCAACCTTGCTGAGCGGCGATCTCCGGGGAAGCACTGAATACCATTCCCGGACTCACAGCGACGAGGTGCGGCTTATGGGTTAGGAAGATCATGAGTGCTGTGGAGAGCGCCGTTCCGTTGATCTCGTTACCCTGAGAGCCTATCGCTCCGAACAATGGATGATTCTCAAAGTACATCCTGACCCAAAGAAACATGCCGCCCCGGGGCCATTTGAATTCGTACAGCTTGGTCTTCGTTATGACGCCCCAATCTGAGTCAGCATCACGAACAGGTGTTGATTGCTTCAACTGATATGTGTTTTCTTCGAGAATGCTGCACATTGCATTCATGCGCCTCTCATATTCACCACGCAAGCCGGCGAGCCACCGTACCCATCCTTCGGTCTGCCAGCCGGTAAAGCTGGCCCGTTCTCTCAGTGATCTCGCTGTGAAGGCGGCAGTAGCCTCGGGCTGTGGGCCCATGATGTTTTCGGCAATCAGCGACTGGACAAAGCCCGAGGGTTGCTGGGGACCGGTCTCGCCCACA